TTGCGCGAGACGTGTCTGTCGTCGCGCGGGGAGAAGCGCCTCCATTTTCTCCCCCCGTCAAGAATCCACACAGGCGCACGCTCCTCCCCTCGCTTAGCAACCCGAGCACGTAGCAACGCCTCCACCAATGGGCGCTCTCCTGGAGGTTCCACCGACTGCGGTTACCTAGCAACGCGGTGGAGAGAAAAAAAAATGCGCTGACGTCCATTCTGTTCGGGAGTATTATGGTCTGTCGGGAATCCAGAGCGGCTGGGACCGCAGAAAAATATCTGCTCTGCTAGCGTTAGCCACCGCGGAGCTAACGGTAGGTAGCACTGGAGCAAACATGGAGCTGTCCGCCGTCGGGGAGAGGGTGTTCGCAGCCGAGTCCATTATCAAGCGCAGGATAAGGAAGGTTAGTGTGCGATGTAACGAGCCGTTTTCCGGCCAGAGCTTGGAACACAAGCCGCACTCATGCACTGGTGTTGCCCTGCAAGCTAACCAAGTGGTTTGTGTTTGTTTCTGATGGCACGCAGGGTCGCATTGAGTACCTAGTGAAATGGAAGGGCTGGTCTCCCAAGTAAGTGCAGCTTCATTGTGTCTCCTGCATGTTGTCAGCCCGCTGCCGCGGTGTCTCCACTGTGGACTGCCTCCACTGTGGCTGTCGTTAGCTCGCCCGAGCTAGCGAGACAGACGGATTAAAAATGAGGTGTAACAGCGCGATGGAGATTTTTTTTAGCTCGCAGGCTAACGCCGCGGCCATCCTCACACTGTTGTATACACACATGTGTGTGTGTGTGTGTGTGTGTCCGAGCCGAGTCTGACCGCAGGTTTTCATCCCCAGATACAGCACCTGGGAACCAGAGGAGAATATTCTGGATTCCCGGCTGTTCGTCGCTTTCGAGCAGAGGTAAGATGTCCGGGTTCGGCCTCCGCGGGCAGAGTCGCTGCATGTTAAACATGTCCAGTAAATACACGGTGGTCTCCGTGCACTTTGCTCCGTGACACTGACCGTGTGCTGCCGTGTGTTCCTCAGGGAGCGTGAGAGGGAGCTGTACGGCCCCAAGAAGAGAGGACCAAAACCCAAGACCTTTCTGCTCAAGGTAAACTCATCAGCGACATTTAGTCACCAATTATTATCACGTGTATTTCCCCTGCGTGTGTTCTTCTCTGTATAATGTGCATTCTTCGCAAACTGTCCACCTGAAGATCTGGTTCATGAATCACATTGTACGTTGAAGTGCGCGAATTACGCACAACAGCGCATTAGCGGGTGTGTATTCAGTTTGTGTATAAGCTAATGTGGAGGGGTTGAAATTGTAACGTGACTTTGGAAAAGCTTTAAAAACAGTCAGTCCTGTTCAGAAGCTGTTCTTCACAGTCTTTTCTTTCTCGGTAAAATCAGCTTTTTTGTAACAAGCTCGTCAATGAATTCAGATTTTTCTGTCCTGAGTTGTGGTTTGATTTAACCCCGATGCAGTCAGCAAGAGGGTCTAGCTTCTCAGGACATGAACCGGGAGAATTGCTAAATGAGCGACAGTTTGTCCTGTGCTAAATACCAGAATGTCCGTGCACAGGACTGAATCTCACTAATAAATACTGAGGCCTGACAGGAGCTGTTTGCTGCTGCAGAGGTTAAAACCTACCAGTGTATGTTCTGTAGTTACATTCCACTTATTCTTCACATTTGAACTATTATAGAAACTGACTGAAATAGTTACGAATCAGGCTTGAAACAATCATTAGGCCTTTTCATGGAATTCATTTAGCTATGTGCGAAAGGAAAGCAGAGGTGTTAATAATACAACAGATTTTGAATTCCATTTATTAAGGAATAAAAAAGAAAGGGAATTAAGAGATTAGATTTATAATTTTTATAGTATAATGTTGATTAAAAATGTCCCTATAATTTTTTTAATTTTCCGATAGGCTCAGGCAAAAGATAAAGCCAGGTCCTATGAGTTCAGGAGTGAAGCAGTGCGAGGGATGCACATCACCTATCCAGCTCCAGAACCCATAGTCACCCCCAGAGCGAGAGAGGGCCTGAGAGCTGTCGTTCCCACCATCTTCCCACCCAGCACTGTCAACCGTGGAGAAAGTATACGCGTTCGCCCGCCAGAACTTAGCATCCGTGAGCACCAGCAGCCGTCCCTTCAACAATCAAGTGCTCAAGGACTCATCCACGCACCCAAAAAAAGAGGCCCGAAGCCTAAGCCCCGCTTTAAGGACAGTGGCTGCAGCCCTGCGGCCTCCGAGCCCCACAAGAGGAGTGCAGAAGAGCAGGTGAGCCACGGCCCTCACAAACTGGCTAAGTACCACGGGGCAGAAGATATGAGGCTGTTCAAAGTGTCACACAGATATCCAGAGAATCACGGTCACAGCCATAAACACCACCACCGACACCACCATCATCATCATCATCACCACCAACACAACAAGGAACTCTCTGGTGGAAGCTCTTACAAACAGCTCTACTCAGACCGTAGCCTGCATCCTCACAGGATGGACACAGACACACACAGAACAAAGGAGGGACCCAGCTACCTGGCACCTGCACAATTCAAGCACCAGTCCAAGATGAGCCAGAGCCTGAGTCGTCCTGCTGAGCTTCCATTCATGGAAAAGCCTTACTTCTTGGACAGGCCTTCGCCGACCCGGCTCGACGACGACCTGGACGAAGTGTCATGGAGGCCCTCCCTCGGCAGCGTGGAAAAGGTCCTGGTGACAGACGTGACCACCAACTTCTTAACTGTCACAATCAAGGAGAGCAGCACATCTAAAGGCTTCTTCAAAGACAAAAGATGATTCTTTGACTGCTTTTTTTTTTTTTTACACCGTGAGGCTTTGTTTCTTTGATTTTCATAAGCATCATTCGGATGTCATTATTAAGCAAAGCATTTTTGTATGTAATGTTTAAAAGCAAATAACATAATTTGCTGATGGTGGTAATGCACCTTGAAGTTGGTTGCTACCCACCAACAAACCGAACAAAAAAAGGAGAGGAAGTAAATAATGTTCATATGTGTATATATTACAAAGTCTGACATCTATTTAATGTATCGACCAAATCAAATGAAGTCCATTTTACTTCATGCATTGGTTAACATGAGTGAGTTACATGTTTCCTTTGCAGCAGCTGGCTACTTTCTGTACAGAGCTTGTGAATTTTACTATTTTGCAAATATAACTAACTAGAATGTATTTTTTTTCACTCTTATCTTTCAGCCTGATGTAAGTAATCTGTGAGAAGTGAGGCCTGGATTTTAAATCCAGTCTGTGGATTAAACATTTCTCGATAATTTGAACTGATTAGACTGAAGTTACCTTGTTCAATTTCCTAAGGTTTATATTTAATAAAAAAAATTGTATTAAGCACTTTGAATTCTAAAGTATTAAGAAATAATCCGTTTTTATTTGTTTGTGTTTAAAGACCGTTTGTAATGTCCCCCTAACATTTCTAATTGTGAACTAAATTTATTCACCCAACAGACACTTTAAGTTTTTTCCCCAAGTCTCATATTTACTACATTATATTTTGAATTTCATAGAAAACCTTCGTGGAGCATTGATGTGATATGGAAATTACAAAGTTGGTGTCATTTTGCTTTTTAGACGCTTTTCAATAAAAACTTTGGATTCTCGCTTCTCGTTGTGCTCACATTTTTTTGTGTCTCTGTTCCTGCGCCGTCGGCCTTTAAAGCCTTAAAAGAAGTGATGAGTTTTATCCATCGCTGACGCCGCCAGGCCTCTAGGCCTCCATCCAAACCAACAGTTGTTTTGTCTTTAAATTTAAATTTCATGAAATCCTGTAATAGGAAAATACGCTGTTGTTAAATAAACTAAAATAAAGCCCCCGCTGTTTGAGCGGTGGGAGTGAGAGGCCTCAGGCTTGATGAAAAAAAAACATGGAAATGAAATGAGTTGAAACGAAGGCCCGCAACTAAACAGCCCATAGTCCTGCTGACAAGAACCTGTTTCATTTGAGTGTGTTTATTGCAGCTCGTGTCCGATTCTCACAGGCCTCAAATAGAAACAATCTGCTCTCCACCGCCATGGGGCCATAATCATTCTGTTCTGTGTATTCAGCGTCTATTCTTCCAGAAACGCGTTCATCGTATCCATTAATTTAACCCGGGATCTTTAATTCGAGATGAAAATAGGCTGCGCACAAAAATCAATGTCACTTATACCCTGCATCTGTAACCTGAGCAGGTTTGCACTGGTCGTCCCTGCAATGGGATTTTAAAATGCATTCAAGTTTCACCTTTTATTTGTCATGTGTAAGTTAACACGGGGTCAAGATGACGGGTCAGCAATTAAATCAAATAAAGTCAAAAGAGCTCGATAGAAAAACCAACCAAATACAACGGGCCCATGAGTTCAGGAGCCCGGTGGTTAAAAGTGTTCTTCAGGCTGGTGGTGCGTGCAGCCCTGATCCAGAGTCAGCGACAACAGTATATGTGCTGGATGCTGCGGTCCGGAATGAGGCTGGTGCGGTATATGTCCTGGATGACCGCGAGCCTGGGCGCACATCACTTCCCGCACCAGACTGGGATGCAGCCGCTAGAGGTCCGTAAGGATGCCGGTGTTCAAACCAAATGTCACCTGTCTCACCTCTCTTATTATTCAGGAACACCGGTCGATTCCCCCTGATCTGCCACTTACTGCTCTTCCATATTTAATTCTCTCTGACACACCAGGGCCCACAGGCTTGAAAGAGCCTTTAAATAAACAATTGAGTTCAGCATCTTCAATTCTGAAAAATGAGAGAAATGAAACGCTTCCTGTGCTTCAGTCTTTTTAATGGCAGACCTGATCCTGCTCTCTACTGATGAGTAAATCTAAAGTGATACACAAGCAGATAGAAGCACCAGGATGATCCACTCTTTTTTTTAGATTAAGCCTTTGACGTGTGGAAATGAGGCTCAACATTCATATAATAAATTATAATGAGTTGAATATGCTCTTCATCTATTAATAGAAAAGAGGTAATAGAACAAATAAAATAAAACAGCATCGCCTTTGTTACCCAGATTGAAGGCACTTGTGCATTCTGATTTATTTGTAATTGTATTCACTGTTCATTCATTATGTTAGTGATACATGATATACAATTTAGAGAATACATGTTGAAACTACTGGAAACAGCAAACTACACTGCTGCTATACAGTGAGGTTATATAAGCACAAAGCATTCATTCTGCACATGGTCCTTTCTTTTAAGGAGAAGGAGAGAGTCTCTCTGTTCTGTTTGTCAAGAGTTTTCACTGACGCCATTGTTGAGTCCATGTTGTCACTACTGGTCCTTTACTGTGAAGAGAGAAAGTGACAGTTCAAAATAATGAGAAATGATCAGGGAAAGACACACATATATAAATACAGGATAAGGACAAGATAAATCAAAGTACTGTCTCCATCAGTTGTAGACACATTTGAAAGGAGTTATTATAAATAGGACTCATGCTCATTATTATAAAGATTAATTTATTAATGTTCCCTATTAGATTAATGAGAAGCTGTTTCAATGACACCATTGAATTAAATGAGCTGTTGTTGATTTTTGCAAAGATTGATTTAGCTTCAATGTTGATGTCTATTCACGATATTGAATAATTATTATTTAAAACTTGTTTGTGCTTTGAATGATTTAAACAAGAAAAGTTAAAAGACATGATGTGAGCATGAGTCTGAACAAGACAGGTTTCTGTGGTGTGGCACTGTTGGGCTTAAAACAAAAACATTAATCTGATTTAATGAAAAGGGATGGTTGGGTTGTCATGTTTGAACATTTTTCATATATGGACACTGTGCATTTTGGGGTTTGAAGTGCTTGTCCCGAATTGCAGCGACCTTTGTCATCATCCTCAAACGGGGTATCCGTAGTTCCTGTCACAGCGAGGGGGGCAGTGAGGATTGAGCCAGTACTCCATGTTGGTCTCCTGGGCCCTCTGATCCAGAGCCTGCATGTGCAGCAGATGCTCCTGCATGGGGACAGATGTGCATGGTTGAATAAAGACAAGGGCAAAGACAGAATGAAAATACCCTGAAAGAAACAAGAGCATGGCTGAAGAGCATGGATCCGGTCTGTTACTAAACATTTGCACAAATGAAAATGAATACTGAGCGGGAGAATCACAGAGTCAAAGTAAAACTGCTGACTTGGAGCTATGTGTCGCTCTGCAGTCATTGTCACCATGGCAGCACAACCAAAGTGAAATTACAGAGATGACTGGAGCTAAACATGTTTGGACTTGAACAATGATGAACGGCTGCACTCATCACAGTGAACACAATCAGGTCAGAGCAGGACAACCAAGTATAGTGATGACACCATTGAATTAAATGAGGTGGCTCAGATCAGCATTCAATAAAGACACATTATCAGATTTTTTTTATCATTAGAGGGGAAAGGTCAACTTTTAGTTTGAGGCTGTGAGTTCATCTCCACAATGACACACTTAATGATAAATGAAACAACATGCAACTACTGCAGCTCCACAATACCCATGGTGCATAGCAGATATCATTTAAAATATAATATCAAATTATTAATGGGAAGATTTGATCTTTTAAAGCTGTTCTGTGACTGTTCACTATCTTT